AAGTGTAGAAGTAAATCTTAAATTTCTATGAGAATTCCCTCACATGTTCCTTAACCACAGCTTTGCAATCTCAAGGCAATTCAAAGAATACTGAACTAATGCATCCCGAACAGCCCATCTGAAACAGAGTGAATGACTCAACAAAGCACTTCACTTGCAAGCCAATCCCAAGAGCAGATGCAATTAGATTTGTAATCTACCCTTGTCAAAACAAACAACGCCTCTGAGACTCCATCAAGACAATGAAGAACTGAACATGACAGATGGACCGAAATTAATACACAGTTCCAAAGGCTCTGGAAAACAACACTACAAACCTCAACAAAACATCTGATCAGGATCTCGTCTAAAAATTCATTCAGTATGCACTTTTGGGTCAAGCAATCAAATAGGCTACAAGAATGAAAACAACATTGTTCCTTACTGAAAAACTAAAACTTTTTGTCACCCTAAAAGTAGTTTTAAATGGAAAGATCAGCATTCTTCAATGGTTTGAAGGCATTTCGATACTTGGTACTGGGGATTTGGAGAAAAATAACAAGGGGTTGAAGACTTCTTGAGGGATTATTTTAGACAAACAAACACATAAAATGTATTTAACTATGGAGGTAAAATAATGTCAAATGTTTTTGAAACAAAAAATCTTTTTGAATCCACATCTTGTTGAATCCTGGAGAGTGTCTTTTTTAATGCAATCTGTGATATATGCACTTATGCCTGTGCACTAGAGGGCGCTCTAGATCACCCCCTGTATATGTTGTGTTGAACTTGAAGAAGATTGACTTCCCATCCCAAGTAAACAGAAATGATTCAACACGGCAATCGTCTCCGCTTCTCATTTAGTTATATAAAGACAAAGATATAACATTTTGGCGACGAGGAAAATCCTTATTGAACCCATACTGCAGATCTGATGCATGTAGTGAACTTGTAGAACGACACCCGACAAAATGGCTGCGTTTATCGGTCATATGGATGCCTTTGATGAGTCAGCCGAACAGTGGGCTACCTACATAGAAAGGTTTGAACAATTTGTTGCTGCTAATGACATTGCAAATGAGAAACAAGTTGCTAAGTGTAATGGGTGCATCTACATACGGACTGCTGCGAAGTTTAAACCGGGTGGGAAGTAATTTGAAGACATTGTGCGTGTTTTGAAAGAACATTTCTCGCCGAAACCGATCGTGATTGCAGAAAGATTTAGGTTTCATAACCGCAATCAACAAGAAACAGAAACAGTAGCACAGTATGTTGTGGTTTTGAAAAAGATGAGTGAACACTGCCAATTTGGGACACATTTGCAAGATGCATTAAGAGATCGCTTTGTGTGCGGGCTGAAAACGGAGTCTACACAGAAACGGCTACTGACGGAAGCAGCTCTCACGTTTCAAAAGGCGGTGGAGATTGCAGTGTCTATGGAAACGGCCACGCGGGAATCTCAACAGTTAAAGGATTAGTTCACTTTTGAAAAAACTTTTGCTGATAATTTACTCACCCCCATGTCATCCAAGATGTCCATGTCTTTCTTTCCTCAGTCGAAAAGAAATTTAGGTTTTTGATGAAAACGTTCCAGGATTTTTCTCCATATAATGGACTTCAATGGGAACCGGATGGTTCAAGGTCCAAAAGATAGTGTTAATAACAGTTTCAGATGCAGCTTCAAATGTCTTTAAACGACACCAGACGATGAATAAGGGTCTTATCATGCGAAACGATCGGTTATTTCAAAACTTATTCCAAAAATGTAACTTTTCTAAGGACAAATGCTAGCCTTGCTATATTCTCTGAGGCGCGTTTGTAACGTCACGTAATACGTAATTACGTTCAAAAGGTCACGGGCGACGTAGCCGGAAGTACAGAATCAAAATCGTCCGACATCGTTGTTTTTCCTTTTAATTCCTTTTTTTGTAAACGGTGTTTGATCTAGTTTGCACGTTCAACCTATGCGTTTAACTTGTAAACACTGACTCTGTACTTTCGGCTACGTCGCCTGTGACCTTTTCAACGTACAGTAATTACGTAATACGTGACGTTGCAAACGCGCCTCACAGAATAGAGCAAGGCTAGCATTTGTCCTTAGAAAAGTTACATTTTTGGAATAAGTTTTGAAATAACCGATCGTTTCGCATGATAAGACCCTTATTCATCGTCTGATATCGTTTAAATACATTTGAAGCTGCATCTGAAACAGTCATTAACTGTCTTTTGGACCTTGAACCATCCGGTTCCCATTGAAGCCCATTATATGGAGAAAAATCCTGGAATGTTTTCATCAAAAACCTAAATTTCTTTTCGACTGAGGAAAGAAAGACATGGACATCTTGGATGACATGGGGGTGAGTAAATTATCAGCAAAAGTTTTTTTAAAAGTGAACTAATCCTTTAAGTGGCTCTTTGAAAGTGAATGCAATGTCCTTGCAAGAGCAAGGGGGCAGCAAATGCTACCGTTGTGGAAGAACAAACCACAGTGAAAAAGAATGTTATTTTAAAGAGCAGCGGTGCCACAACTGTGGTAAAAAAGGCCACATTTCCAAAGTTTGTAGAATTAAAGCAAAACACACAACTGAATATAAAAAGATTAAATCAGTAAGGACGAAAAATGCCCAACAGAAAAAGAGAGTGCATCACATGAATGTGAAAGAGTCGTCAAGTGATGATACTACTGATACGGAACTGGCACTGCATGTGATGTCTAGAAAGGAGGAATTATCACACATCTGTCTAAAGCCAAATGTCGAGGGTGAAATCTTGGAAATGGAATTAGACACTGGAGCTGCAGTTTCTTTGATTTCAAGAGAACTTTACAATGAACGACTAGCCCATAAACCACTTGGAATGACAGATGTGATTCTGAAAACATGGTGACAGGTGAGGTGAGGCGGTGTCTCCAGTACAGGTGAGGCGGTGTCTCCAGTAGGGGTCATCATAGTCAAAGTGACAATGAATAAACAGAAAGCAAAATTACCACTCTATGTCGTGGAAGGAGATGCCCCACCACTTTTCGGGAGAGAGTGGCTCAGGAAAGTTGAGCGGAATTGGCGTGAAATTAAAAGTGTGGGAAAAGGGTCAATGGAAACACTGCTAGCAAAGCACAAAAGTGTCTTCAGAGAAGGACTGGGCTTGTTAAAAGGTATTGAGGCTACAGTGTCACTCAAACCACAGTTCCAGCCACGATTTTGTCACGCACGCAATGTACCCTATGCACTGAAACCGAAAGTGGAGGCAGAATTAAATCGTCTATTGGAGCTAGGGGTCATCTCCCCTGTAACATGCAGCGAATGGGCCACCCCTATCGTACCAGTGGTAAAAAGGAATGGGGATGTGAGGATTTGTGGAGACTTCAAAGTAACAGTGAATCCAGCCCTTTGTGTTGATCGTTACCCGATTCCACGGATAGAGGACTTATTCTCATCATTGGCAGGGGGTCAACGTTTCACCAAACTGGATCTCTCAAATGCTTACTTACAAGTGCCTGTGGCAGAAAGCTCACGCAAATGTCTCACTATCACCACGTCGAAAGGGCTATTCTGTTACAATCGTTTAACATTCGGCATCGCTTCGGCCCCTGCAATTTTTCAAAGGGCAATGGACCAGATCTTACAAGGTCTTTCCAATGTTCATTGCTATCTAGATGATATTTTAGTGACAGGGTCAAATGACGAGCAGCATCTAAAAAATATTGATGCAGTCCTCAGCCGTCTGGATGAGTTCGGACTTTGTTTCCAACGTGACAAGTGTGAATTCTTTAAAGATTCGCTGGAGTATTTGGGGCACATCATAGATGCTCAAGGTCTTCATAAGTCACCAGAAAAGGTCAGGGCAATCAGGGATGCGCCTGCACCTAAGGACGTTAGTCAACTTCGTTCATTTCTAGGACTTATAAACTATTACAGTCGCTTTATCCCTAATCTTGCATCAGTATTGGTACCCCTCGAAGCCCTTCTGTGTAAAGGAAAGCAGTGGCTGTGGTCTCTTGAGTGTGAGGATGCGTTCGACAAAGTAAAAAAATTGTTGCTGTCACAGAGCGTACTAACCCATTATGATCCACAGTTACCAATCAGACTGGCCTGTGATGCATTGCCATATGGCGTGGGTGCCGTCATCTCACACATCCTACCAGACAGGCTGAAAAAACCAATTGCCTTTGCCTCGAGAACATTGAGCAAAGCAGAGCAAAACTATGCTCAAATTGAAAGGGAGGCACTTGGAATTGTCTTTGGAGTACGAAAATTCTAACAATATCTGTACGGGCGGAAGTTTACATTGCTCACGGACCACCGTCCGCTGACAACAATTTTCAGTCCAACGAAAGCTATTCCATCTATGGCTGTGGCCCGTATGCAGCGCTGGGCTTTGTTGGTGGCAGCATATGATTGCGATATCCAGTACAGAGTTGGTGCACACCACTGTAATGCGGACGGTCTATCACGTCTACACTCTAAGAAATAATTCCGTAAAATAACAGAAAAAGTACTGGCAGCTCATTACCCGGACTTTGTCCCGTTAAAAAACGGACATTTTCTGTTAATTCACAGTATGCCCACTTTAAATAAAACAGAAATTTTCTGTTATTTAATGGTATATCTATAGTAAAAAAACGGAAATATTAAATAAATCCGTAAAATAACAGAAAATGTACTGGCAGCTCATTACCCGGACTTTGTTCCGTATTTAATGAAAGATTTCTGTTAATTTATGGTTTTCCTACAGTAAAAATAAAAAAGATTAATTTATGCAATACACCTACAGCAAATAGAAATTTTACTTTTCTGTTAGTTAACAGTGTAATGATAACTCTTGTTGAAAACATTTCAAACAAATCTTCTGTGATTAAAAAATAGTTTTATTTACTTATAGATCTACAACAATTCCATGAAAACTAAAATACAAGGGGAAAAAAAAACACAAAGGGAAAAGTATATATAGTTTCTCATCTCTAAATTGTTTCAAGTCTGCTAATTTACAACACTTTGTTAACATTACAACAATTGCATCCACTGAAAAAATATTTTAAAATGTGTGAAGGGAAAAAGTTTTTCAGAGGAACATGGATTGAGGCGGGGTGGGGGGGGGGTGGGACTCTTCTTGTCTTCAGGTAAGATGAAGGCTGTAAAATAAATACAAAACACTATTTTGTGAGGCCAGGACATACTGTATTGACATACAGTATGTGTCAAAACAAAGAAAACAAAGATTCTAGGTGGGGAGAACTCATCACTCACCAAGAAATGTGTAGTAAATTCTTCAAGGACTGCAGACTTGGGTTTAGCCACCAAAAACTACAGAGGGGAGAGAACAGTGTGTGGCTTATCCATCATGATGTTTCAAATTTAATTACCGTGTACTGTAATGGTTCCGTCTACGGTTAACCGTACCTGTCTGTCTCGCGGCGAGAGGCCTGTATAACGGCCCAGCTGTCCCACCAGGTTGCCGTTGTTCTCTCCGTGCCGACACAGGTAGATGATTCAGGGCTGGATGTAGATATTCATCGGGTAGATTATCCAGGATCTGTTTGATGAGGAAGTGCCGATCCCCGTCTATCACCTAATGAAGGAGTGATCGGTATGTTCAGTTAAAGTTCCATTTTCAGATTTGACAAAAGCTAAAACTTTACATGGTTTTTCGAAGTTTTTCATACAGGGACTTCAGCAGTCTTGAAGGAATGTAATACGTTTGGTTTCCTTCATCTCAGCCACTTCGATCTTCGTTCAGGATTTCTGCACAGAAAAGTTGGATATGGAGAAAAAAAGATGTATTTTAGCTACACAAGAAAGTAAATGAAGGAAAATTAACTACACAGTATCATGCAGACCAGATTGAGGTTGAAAAACAATTGTAAAATATTTTACATTCGTTAAATTAACTATAAATAATCAGCCATCCCTAATTCTTTCAAATTCAAACACTGTATATAAAATGCTAAAGCCAAGTTCACACTACAGGATTTTAAGCCCGATTTATGCCCGATTTGCAATTTGTTGAGCTCGCCGACAGGTCAGGGTGTTGCGGGGGATTAGCGGACGATGAACGCTTGCCAATCTGTTAGTATGAAAGAGCCAACAATGCAGCGAAAATGCTCGCAGACGCGTCGCCGAGCCCAGAAAAATATCTAGACTGCTAGATATCCAGAGCCGTCGTGCGACTCAAACTCAGTGATGTCATGAGTACAGCCAACCATAGCAACGCATGGGTTGAGACACCAGGTAAATCTTAGTTTTTTTTATTTTTTGCATTTTTTCTCAGAGCAGATCGTCACGCAAACAGTGTGCAGCACTAGTTTCTGTCTGATGTCCATATTCACGTGTGTTTCGCGTGGATTTTCGTGACAAAACGTGGTTTGTAGATAAGATAGAATCGTTGGGTGACAGAGTTGTTGTCAACTCCGATTGCGCTACGATCTGCTCTGAGGAAAAAAAAAAAAGAGAGAGAGAAGATTTGGTGTCCTCAACCTATGCATTGCTATGATTGGCTGTACCCATGACATCACTGAGTTTGAGTCGCGCGACGGCTCTGGATATCTAGCAGGCTAGATATTTTTCTGGGCTCGGCGACGAGTCTGTGAGGCATCTGCGAGCGTTTTCGCTGCGTTGTTGGCTTTTTCATACTAACAGATTGGCAAGCGTTCATCGTCCGCTAACCCCCCGCGATAACACCCTGACCTGTCGGCGACTCAACGATTTGCAAATCGGCGTAAATCGGGCTTAAAATCCTGTAGTGTGAACTTGGCATTAGCTTGTCTGCTCAACTATACATTATAATATGTTTAATTATGTTCAACTAAATAAACAGAAACATAATAACATAATCTATAAATCATTTAATTAAATTAATTAACATGTGTTGCTTACCTTTATATGAACTCCAGGATAAGTGCCTTTTTCTTCAGGTATTTTGTAGCTCACTGCCTTAATGGGGTAGAGATGTGGTAAGTAATAACTTCTTGAATGACAGCAATCCTGAATGTCCACCACCCGATCTTAAACAAAAAACGAAAAAATGTATTACAAAATGATATTACATTACACGATCACTTCAGAAAGCCGCTTTAAAGGGGTATTTCACTTTAAAATGAAAATTCTGTCATCATTTATTCGGGTATTCAGCAACCACATTTTTATTTATCAACATTCTTCCTCAGACTTTATGTAAATTTAAATGTCTGTTGGCAGTATTGAACACTCATAGTTATTAATAATAAAAAAAATGTTAATAAATCAAAATACAAACCCCTAGGCAGCATGCAGGTGGTGCTTGGGATACAAACTACAGCAGCAAATTCCTGTCAATAGATAAAAACAACAGAAACACTATGAAACAAACTGAGGAGGGATCTGGTAAAGAATGACTAACGTTACAGGCAGAAGAGTAGATAATAGCAGTCATGTTAAATGTAAATTAATATTTCATGGTCAATATTTTAGTTTTAAAAGTCGTGTCATCTAAAACAAAAACAAGTTTAACGTAAACATAACGTTAACTTACCTCATCTGGCAGAAAAGGTGGTGGTGTTTTCCTTGATCCAACTCTTACTGCATCTTCACACACAATATCTTCACGTTGTATCTTCATGCCTTTTACATCAAGCAAGTCTTGACGGCCTTTACTTTTCTTGACGATTCCTCTGCTAGCTTTTGTTTGAAGGCATTCAATTGCTCCAAAAACAGCAACGTTAGCAACGTTACTGCATTTTATCACAACTGGTTAACGGATTCGCTCGTCAAGAAATAAACCGCATCGCCGACAAATAAAAGTAAATAAACCAAAGTAAAACGAGGACACTCTAGAATAACACATATATCAGGGAACCTCCACGATACTAAATCGTTTAATGTGTGACGATATGCATAAAATGATAAACGCGACAGCTTGCCCAACATGCCAGATGGCAAATAAATGACGTTACGTTAACAGCTTATTTGAACATAAATGTCGTATTTTACCACAGACGTGTCAGAATGGCTTCCACACACTCGAAATCCGACTTTAATGAGCAACTTTGGCCGCGGTCATCTGCGTGTGTAATGGCAGTTGTGGCTAAAACATTTCGCGCCGACAGGTTATTGTTCCCACAATGCAACGCATAATTCAAAATACGGGTAAATGACCTGTAAAAGACAAAAACGGAAAAATCCTTCTAATTTATATGCTACATTGTACCGTAGTTTTACGGAATTTTTTTACAGTGTACCCCTACAAGACGCATCTCAACTTCAGAAGGACACAGTGGAGTTGCTTCAAGTCAAGCATCTGGATTCTTTGCCAGTGCTGTGTTCAGATGTTTGTAAAGAAACAAGGTCTGGCTCCACTATGTCACAAGTCATGGAGATGGTGGCAACGGGACGGTTTTCACAAGTCACAGATGCAAATAATGTGCTCGCCCCGTATTTGAACAGGAAAGACGAGTTGACTACACAACAGGGTTGCCTCATGTGGGATTGGAGAGTTGTTATTCCTCCTAAACTGAAATCCAAGGTACTGGCTGAGCTGCACACTGGGCATCCGGGTGTCGTAAGAATGAAGGCAGTTGCTCGGAGCTATGTCTGGTGGCCTGGCATTGATGCCCAAATTGAACAATTGTCAAAAACCTGTCATTCATGCCAAACGACGCAAAAAGCTCCTGGTGCCTCACCATTACACCCTTGGAAGTGGCCGGAATTACCTTGGCAACGTATACATGTGGACTTCGCAGGTCCATTTGAAGGACACATGTACTTGGTAGTCGTGGACGCTCACTCCAAGTGGCCAGAGGTCTGTGTGATGGAGTCAACTACATCTACCAAGACCATTCAGGTGCTGAGAGGATTATTTAGTCGTTATGGACTCCCAGAAGTGCTGGTTAGCGATAACGGACCTCAGTTCACCTCGGAGGAGTTCCAGACATTTCTCAAGTCCAATGGAGTGACTTGTTCTAAAGGGCCAACTTCGATTCAACAAAGGCTGGACACCTTTCTACTGGCGTATCGAAACACTCCACACGCCACCACTAAGGAATCGCCTGCCATGTTGTTTCTGCACCGCAGGTTGCGTTCTCGCTTGGACATGTTAAAGCCTAATGTTGCCTCTGTGGTGGAAAAAGCACAAATAAAACTGTGCCAGCAGCGTCAAGTGCATGCTAAAGACAGAACATTTTCTGTGGGTGATAAAGTATTGGTGCGTGATTATAGGAGGGTAAAGAAGTGGACACCTGGTGTTGTTTCAGCAAAGACCTGTATCATACACTGTCGATGTGGGATTTTCAGTTCACTGGAGATGTCACGTTGATCAAATGGTGGCACGTCTAACTGACTGTAACAACGGAAATGAGACGGGACTGGAGGTCATTGAGGTTCCTGAGGGGAATCTGACAGATCCTTGCGAATATCCCAGGTCAGAAGAAACTTCACCACCTAGTCTCGATCCAATCCAGACTGGGTCAGCACAACCTGTTGATTCATTCCCAAGTGAAACAGGTGAAGTGTTACGCACTCCACACAAAGAGTCGAGCAGATACCCGGAACGTGCCATTAAGCCCCCGATACGGTTTAGCCCTTAAGGTTTACCTTGGTGGTATAAGTTGATCCTTTTGTATTCATTTTGACAGTCATGGCACTGGGGTTAGGTAAAAGAATAAGTACAACACAGTTCATTGAATGATTATAGTGTTCAATCACAGATGTTCTATATTGTTGACATCACTCTAAGTACTGTATTAGACAGGAGTATAATTGTGTCAAGCATGTTATAGATTGATATGCATATATAGAGAGAGATGTAAAAAAAAGGGGGTTACACTGTTCATGTTCTATTTAGGTGTATTTGTAACAATGTTACTATGTGGGGAGGAATATGTGATATATGCACTTATGCCTGTGCACTAGAGGGCGCTCTAGATCACCCCCTGTATATGTTGTGTTGAACTTGAAGAAGATTGAGTTCCCATCCCAAGAAAACAGAAATGATTCAACACGGCAATCGTCGCCGCTTCTCATTTAGTTATATAAAGACAAATATATAACACAATCAAACAAAATGGTTTTGAGAGCAAAAATGACCATATTGCAATAAAAGATTGCAAATAAAAGGTCTTAGGCTATATTTGCAATGTAAGTAAATATTTGTTTTTCCTTGTGCAGTTTTCATCCTGCACGGACAAATTTGCTCTTTGTTCTGCTCATTGTTTGCGAGACTGAAAGCTTTGTTTGCATGTCGAAAAGTTTTGAAATCAAGTGAATCTGCATTCCAGTGAGCGGTATCCTAGCACTTTCTATTGGTCACTCTCACTTGCCGCAATATATTTTGGCCTCACCAACTGCACCCGGTCCTGATGGAGACATGGAGAACAACACATCAATGTCTAATGCCATTAACCATGTAAAAACACTGAAGTGCATGCTTGAGTTACCCAGTTAGGTCTGTAGCTGTTGTTGTTGTTGTTTACAATCACTGCAGGCTATTACTAAGACAGTCTCATTTAATCTTGAGAATAGCGCCATTAGCAGAATTTAGGACTCTATATATTTTCCTCTGTTTATGATGTAGTGACAGTATTTTTTTTTCTCTCTCAGGAGTACACATCAATCATGCAAAACTGTCATTATGGATCTGATGAGCGCTCACTAGCTTTGCCTCTGTTCCGGGTCAAATTACTCCCAGTCCCAGTCAGATGATTTGCTTGCTACTGATCTGTCACAATACTAAGTGGACATATATCGCACTCTTCTATAACCTCAGTATATATATATATATATATATATATATATATATATATATATATATATATATATATATACTGTATATACCCCATTCTGTCTCAGTATATAGATAACAGATAGAAACGTTTGTGCAGATGAAACATGAAGCTAAAAAATGGACAATTACAACTATGTATTGTTTGGATGTGTTTTTCATGTGATTTGGGTTATTTTGTTTAAAGAGCCCCTATCATGGATTTTTGAAAATGACTGTTCATGTGACGATCAGCAGCCGTGGTGCCCTCGAGAGCCACTAGAGGGCACCCTCTCCCCATGTTTGTTTTTCCCCTGGACTCTTTGTGTTTCATTATGTTCAGCTGTGTTTCATCATTGGTTATTGAGTTCCTTATTTAAGCCTGAGTTTTCCCTGTGTCCCTTGCGAAGTCTTGTTACACTGTAAGCGTGCAATTCCGAGCGTTCTTCCCTGTTCTGTGTCTCCGTGTTTCCCTGGACTCTTGACCCTTGCCTGTTTCCTGGACTGTTCACGAACCTGTGCTGCCTGCCTCGACCATTGCCTGTTTTGACCACGAGTTTCTGGATTGCCCCTTTGTTTAAGTGTTTGCCAGTTTTCATGTCTGCCTGTTTTAATAAAGTGCTGCACATGGATCCGACCGTCTCTGTCCGTACGTTACAGAAGACTTCGCCAAACGAGGATCCAGCAGACTTTCAGCATCTATCCGCCGTGGTCAAGACCCGAGCTTCAATGCTAGCCTCTCATAGTTCTCAGCTGGCGAGACTAACTTCTCTCCTCGAGGAACTAGCAAGCTCCGTGCAGTCATGAGCTGTGTCTGAAACCGCTCACTCGTTCACTCATTCACTAATCCCTATATAGTGTATGGCATTTGAGTGCACTATATCTGCAAGGAGTGAAGGAGATGAAGTGAGTGAATTCGGACGCTGACGTTTACACTGTGCGTCGGAGAGTTGGAGCTGTCGCAGAAAAGGCTTCGTCACGCATACTGATAAAACTCCTTTTATCTTACATTACCTACTTTATAAAATAATATTAACAACAATAACAATCATAATGACTTTATTTTGTAATTATACCTCCGTGCCAGCTTTGTAGTTTCATCGACTGAAATTGTACATTAACTCTCACGTTCACAGATGACGTGTCGTCGAGCGCCCTCCGGCGACCGTTATTATGTTCAAAACGACGATTAACGGACATTTTTCAAATCCTCCACTGGATGTAATGTAATCTCTGGTTTAAACTTGCTCGCGCCGAACTTTCATGCGCGCTCAGTTCTCTCCGCATTGGATTGTGGGAAATAGGGCTTCAGCGAGTGTACATCGAATGTACACTCGAATTCAGAGAGGATTGTGGGTAAAAGTAGTGAATGAATGTAGGGAATGATGTCGTTCACTCAGAATTCGGACACCACTACAAAATGGCCGACACCCGATATAGTGCACTATTTAGTGGATAGGGAGCGATTTCAGACACAGCTATGGTCTCCGCAGAGCACAAGCACTAATCAAGCCCAAGCTCCCGCTGCACCTGTTCCACCGCAACCCTGTGTGAGTACCGCATGCAGTAATTCCAGTACGCCGTTTCCCGAGAAGTTTAATGGCTCACCTGAAGCGTGTGAAGGATTTCTTCAGCAGTGCAGTTTATATATGAAACATCAGCCCCAGTTATACGCCTCGGATACCGACCGCGTTTCTTTCATCTGCTCACTGTTGACTGGAAAGGCTCTGGAGTGGGCAGGCACGTTTTGGGAACCAGGTCGGATGTCGTTTCCTCCTTTCGACGTGTTTACCGCCCTGTTCAGAAAGGCTTTTGAACTCCCCGCAGAAAAGGAGGGTCTCGAGGAACGGCTCTTTTCCCTGCGCCGGGGAGTTTCGTATGCGGCGGATTTCTCTCACTCACTCCGCACGCCGCATAAGCCTCAGCTCGCTAAACTGTTTGATCCTCCCTTAAGGACCGTCAGAGGCGCTTCTAAGCATATTGTTCCTGCCAAAACCACTCATCATGTCGGACCCCTCGAGCCCGTATCCCGCACTGGCCCTGTTAAAAGTGCTGTTTCTAAGACAGCG